GGGTGGGGGTGGGGGGGTAACACCGTGGGGGCCACTCACACGCTTGCAGGGGGCCGAGCCGGACGCCACCAGGCACTCTGCTCCTGCATATTATGAGTTCATTAATCACGCGTCTCTTATGCGTCCCCCTCCACCGTCGCCACCACCACCACCCGCACCACCACCACCACTACCACCACCACTACCACCACCACTACCACCCGCACTACCACTACCACCACCACCACCACAACCGTTACAGCAGGTACTGGGTGCACCAACAGCCAACAGTATCACTAGCAAGCAGTAATAGATCGAGCAGTCGAATTAGCAGCTGCTCTTCGTTTTTTATTAGGGATATTCTGGAGCGAGCTCAAAGCCTTTTGCTGGCCCACTGTTACTCGTAAGTCTTAGTTACTCGTAAGTCTTGGTTACTCGTTACGGTTACTAAGTCTTAGGCAGCGGATGAATGTTTGTCTCGTCATGATGCTTCAGCAAAATTATGTCCAATGTGTTTAGCAATTACTTCTGTACTATTAAATCTCCGTTAACATATTATTGGGTTTGTAACTCTTCACTGTTAGATAATGTTTCAGTGGTCTGTTGGGCACATCTTTCAAATGCTGACATTTCCTCTCATCTTCAGGAACCTGTAAGCCTACTGACGTATGTCTGCTACATTAGCGCTTAGCAATAACTTGTTGCAAACACCGTAGCGGAAGAACACTGGGAAATGGAAGGAGTCAGCAGTGCCCAACAGCAGCAGCTGTTCTCTGTTCTCCCTCCCTTCTTCCTTACCGTTCACGGTGCACGTCGTTAATGATTGGAAAACGATTATTTCTAATTGTACCTGAGCAATAACAGAGGCTGTCGATGGACAGTTAGAAGCCCCTCAGATGTTATTGATTCAAGTTCCTGGCGATGGCGACCATTGTTAAAGATGGTGAACTGGAAGGAGAGAACATTTGTATGGAGAAGGAGAGGAGGAGGCGAGAACATCGGAGAGAAAAGTGAGGGAAGAACTGAAGGAGGAGGAGAGGGCGTAGGAAAAATAGGGGTGAGATAGAATGATGGGAAGGAAAAAGTAAGAGGACGATTTTTGGGAAGAGTTGAAGGTGGTAAAAATAAAATATATAAGAAAACACAATGGTAGACAGAAAAGTGGGAGACCAAGCTATACCATGTGAGGTAGTCCAGTGACGCTCACGTCCTGGTTAAATATTCTACAATTAAAAAAGGTTAGATTTATTGCCTCGGTCCCATTTGATTCCACATTTGTTGAGGTCCGCCTGTGCCCTATTTTGAGGCCTTCAGGATGGAGGGTGTAATTGGTGATCGTAAATAGATTATTGAAGAGGGAGGGAGGGAGCGAGGGGGGAGGCGTACGTGAGTTACTCAGCCTAGTATTTTTAGAGTACCAGCCATAGTGAGCGAGAAGTTATTGGTGTGGAATATGGGCCTGGTGAGCCTCACTCAGAAGAAGGCATTCACACCGAATATAGATTACCTCAGAGGACCAGACCAAATGGGGAATTAAGACGTGCTGAATAATTCCAGATGGAGGAGATAATTATATTCATCGAGAAATAGGCATATTCATTTTCAAGAATTATGAGGGACGTAAAGCGGGGCCCTAAGTTAAGGGATTAGTCTTGAAGAGAGTGAAAGGGGATGTGGTGAAGTATTGAGAGAGAAGATCGATTGGAAACTGGCTCTCTACTATAGAATATGGAAGGACAAAGTCCTCAACACATTACTCGGGGCACTGAAGGTGTAACCGTTCTCTTTTCCCTCTCAGAGCTCCCTCTCACTGTCCACCTATCGAAGCACCGCATGGGGAATCACTAAAGTGTGACAAGGAAGAGGGAATTGGGAGGGGGATAAGAAATTAATGTTGAGGTGTAGCATATTTTTTGTTTTGTTTAGGGAGTAGGGGGTGTATGTAAAGATGAAGATGTTCAGGTGAAGGGAAAAGTTTGGGAATGTGAAATATAAGGTACGGTAATTATCAGGAGAAAACACTAAGCCGTTACGACTATATAGCTTAATATATATTAGGCTATCCGCCTTGCTGACACCACGGGAGACATCTCCCGTCCACGAGGCTAACCATAGCCCGTTGCTTCTTGCCCCGCTCTTGTGCCAGGTAAGTTACGGGCTCACCATAGCCCGTACTACTTGGAACTTGTTCCGAGTAGCTGAATCTATAACAACAACAACAACTTGCTGACACTGTGTGGTGGCAGCTAAGCTAAGCTTGCTCTCTTGTCAGGGAGCTGTGAATGTGTGTGAGGGTCTTCACACGTGTATTTCTGCACATAGGGATGTCTAAAGATGAATACTGTGTAGCACGCTAACATATAAACACACACTGATGCTTTCACACATTTTGATGTTCTGTTTAAGGGTCTTAATTTTATGTTTACTATTTATTTATCTATATATTTTTTCCTATCTCCTTTTCCTCTCTTTTCCCTCCCTCGAGGTAAAGGAGTGAGACAGGTTGAGGTGTATTGTGAAGGAACAAAGGATTCAGCGATGAGTATTTTTAGTTGTGAATATAAGGTGCTGGTGGCGGGTCACAGCTGGGGCCCCAGGTGGCGGGTCACAGCTGGGCCCCAGGTGGCGGGTCACAGCAGGCCCCAGGTGGCGGGTCACAGCTGAGGCCCCAGGTGGCGGTTCACAGCAGGGCCCCAGGTGGCGGGTCACAGCTGGGGCCCCAGGTGGCGGGTCACAGCTGGGGCCCCAGGTGGCGGGTCACAGCTGGGCCCCCAGATGGCGGCTCATTTATAAATATGGTGGAAAATGTTGTTGTTCCCCGTTCAGACTCGACTCACTTATGGTGACCCAAGGTGTCAGGTGCGATAACTATACTTTCGTACAGCTTAACCTTTCGTTCCAGTACCATACTCTGCACCTTAACCCACCCTTCCAGTACCATACTCTGCACCTTAACCCACCCTTCCAGTACCATACTCTGCACCTTAACCCACCTTTCAGTACCATACTCTGCACCTTATCCCACCCTTCCAGTACCATACTCTGCACATTAACCCACCCTTCCAGTACCATACTCTGCACCTTAACCCACCCTTCTAGTACCATACTCTGCACCTTAACCCACCTTTCCAGTACCATACTCTGCACCTTAACCCACCCTTCCAGTACCATACTCTGCACCTTATCCCACCCTTCCAGTACCATACTCTGCACCTTATCCCACCCTTCCAGTACCATACTCTGCACCTTAACCCACCCTTCCAGTACCATACTCTGCACCTTATCCCACCCTTCCAGTACCATACTCTGCACCTTATCCCACCCTTCCAGTACCATACTCTGCACCTTATCCCACCCTTCCAGTACCATACTCTGCACCTTAACCCATCCTTCCAGTACCATACTCTGCACCTTTACTCAAGTCTGGGTTCATATTACCGAAATCTTTACCATTGAATACGAGAAGAACGAGAGTGTAGCTGGAAATTATCGCCCATTGTGAAGCCATATTGTAAACACTGTAATCATTTTCCGAGGCGTGTGTAAGACTGATACCAACCAGGTATCAACTGAGACTTGCGGTTTGCGGAGACGTATCAACTGAGGTATCAAGACTGATACCAACCTGATATCAACTGAGACCTGCGGTTTGCGGAGACGTATCAACTGAGGTATCAAGACTGATACAAACCTGATATCAACCAGATATCATACCGTCTAGTATCATTTCAATTCATTATCCCACAAGTGTTGTTAAACATATTTTTGTTTCCCCTTCCGCAAACATAATTTTTTTCTTTAGTTTTTATCCGCATCTGTATTCGGTGTTTATGTGTACTTGTTCGAGAGGTTCGACGGGTGCTCAAGGTAAAGTTTGATAGCTCTTTGTAGATGTTCTCCGGGTCAATTCATCCATTGTTGCAGATTAAGTTGAGTAAACTTAACCCTGTCGTAGCTCAGTCGATTAAGGCAGTGTCTGGGATGCTCCCGGACGCAGGTTCGAATCCTCGTCACGGCCCTTGTGGATTTGTTCATAAGTTGACTAAACATGCCTACATGTTGGATGTTTTGTTGGCTGGATGGACGGAAAACATAATTTACTAAGGTTGAGGTGAGGTGTTTGTGTGGTGACGGAAGAGGGAGTGTGTGGGGTGAAGGGATGGGGTTCAGCGCAGTCAGAATATGAAGGAAAGTGGCCTTGCTGTAGTGTAACCACAGGGAAAGGCTTAGTCTTCACTAATTAGGAGAAAGGGCAGCAGCCGTCATTTGGCGAGTGAGGGCAGTCGTTGTAATATATTGGGTATGCAAATGCTAGATAAGCGTTTGTGTATGTGTGTGTGTGTGTGTGTGTGTGTGTGTGTGTGTGTGTGTGTGTGTGTGTGTGTGTGTGTGTGTGTGTGTGTGTGTGTGTGTGTGTGTGTGTGTGTGTGTAAGTGTGTGTGTGCATTGTGAAGGATGTTGTGTGTGTGCGCGCGTGCGTGCGTGCGTGCTTGCGTGGAAGCAGGGAGACGAGGTGTAATATACGGGGCCGCATATACCCCGCGAGGCTGATGAAGACGCATCACACGTGTTAATGGCAAGGATGAGGGGGCGAGACATAGGGGAAATTTGCAGTGTAGAGGCGGGAGGAGAGGCAGATAGCGACCTGAGTTAGTGGAGGGGGGGGGGGGGCTAGCGTAGGGGATGGTGTCGGAGGACTCGTGTTGGATGAGGCGGGTAGGGCGGGCCAAGTCGTTGGTGGTGAGTAACGAGGAAGTTGTGTCTAGGTGCAAGGCTGGAGAATGTGGCGGTCGTCCCGGGTGACGGAACGCACCAGGGACGGCTGATAGCCCAAGGGGAGAGGGGAAAATATGGAGATGTGAAATGAAAGGAAGCAAAATGGGAAAGGGGGGGTCGTTAGGGTGGTAGAGGAGGACTGAGGTTGACGGAGTGCGGCTCACAGAGGGGCAGGAATGTTGTTTGTGGTCTCCCTTGTCATTCGTTACCATGATTTGCTGGAAGTGGTAATGCCAGGGGTAATGCTAGGGGTAATGCCAGGGGGTAATGCCAGGGGTAATGCCAGGGGTAATGCTAGGGGTAATGCTAGGGGTAATGCTAGGGGTAATGCTAGGGGTAATGCCAGGGGTAATGCTAGGGGTAATGCCAGGGGTAATGCCAGTGGTAATGCCAGTGGTAATGCCTGGGGTAATGCCAGTGGTAATGCCAGTGGTAATGCCAGGGGTAATGCTAGGGGTAATGCCAGGGGTAATGCCAGTGGTAATGCTAGGGGTAATGCCAGGGGTAATGCCAGTGGTAATGCCAGTGGTAATGCCAGGGGTAATGCTAGGGGTAATGCCAGGGGTAATGCTAGGGGTAATGCCAGTGGTAATGCCAGGGGTAATGCTAGGGGTAATGTCAGGGGGTAATGCTAGGGGTAATGCCAGGGGGTAATGCCAGGGGGTAATGCCAGGGGTAATGCCAGTGGTAATGCCAGGGGGTAATGCTAGGGGAAATGCCAGGGGTAATTGCCAGTGGTAATGCCAGGGGTAATGCCAGGGGTAATGCCAGTGGTAATGCCAGTGGTAATGCCAGGGGGTAATGCTAGGGGTAATGCCAGGGGTAATGCCAGTGGTAATGCCAGGGGTAATGCCAGTGGTAATGCCAGGGGTAATGCCAGTGGTAATGCCAGGGGTAATGCCAGTGGTAATGCCAGTGGTAATGAGTGACCTTGAAGGTTGGCCCCGGGCCGGCCTGCTGCGGGCCATACCTGGCCACCCATCGCACCTGTCTCCTCAACTTCAAGTAAATGTGATATTACACATATTTTTAGAGAGTTCAATTCACTCTTTTATGCATGGATAACTGGAAAATAAATTCTATATAGGATTTATTATTGCTCAGACATGATAAATCAGACATATCATTGCTCAGTGTATTGTGAGATCTAGAAGTATGTGAACTACGTTTAGTGTGTGTTCTGGGTGTTGTCATGCGCACTGGGTGTTGCGTCATTCGTCCAAACTAAAAAAACTGTTTGGAAATAAAAAAGTTTGACAATAATTGTAAACAGGAACTAACAGCCAACATAAGAGGACTTCCCGGGAAAGTTATTCTTGAGGTAACAGTTTCCGAAGTACTAACTGACAGTCCCCAAGAAAAAAATAACTGTATACCGAATATTGAATTAGAATTTACTTGAGCCTGTGGTCCGTACTGACTAGAATATGACTTCCATAAACTTGACCAGTATCTGTATTACCATATTAGTAGAGGAGAGACCTCTTGGACAACTTAATATTTATGAATTAGGGGTCGTTTTTAAGGCGACCGGGACGCCAAGTTCAGATATGCATAGGACAAAAATCCAAATATGAAATGGGTCGGCTCAACTGATGCATATTGTAGTGTGTTATTCAACCAGAAGTTTCTCCACCATGTGTCAGAGCAGCCACAGGGGAAGAGGGGGAGGAAAAGAGCGCAGGTTTTTCTCCCCCCCTGTGTAAAATCCGTGTTAGACCAGCCACTCTGAAGAGTGTAAGATTCTCTCCTGTGCGCGGAGCCTGATCAAAGCCTTTAGAGGTCCTATATAAGCCCTGAAAAGATTATTGGTCTCCCCACACACCCCCGCCCACACCCCAGTCATCCTTCTCACTATACTAAATTCAAATTATAAATACACTATACCGAAAAAATCTGACAAACATTCGTATTTACAATATAATTTATCCAGTTATTATTCATTTGCAACATTATAGTTCATGTTGCAACCTGTGAAAATCTTAATTTCCTCAGTTTGTGCAATAAATCTCGCGTCGTGGTGTTCACTAAGGGAAAAAGATCATCGTGCCGAGTTTTCTAAAATTCGAGGAAGCCGCTGGTCCGCTCGATCACATTTAGAATGAAGAGTAAGCATTTTCCCCCCAGGCCATGGCTCAGTCTCGCGCGCCCCCGCCACCATTACTTTCACTCTCCCACACTCCACAGATTTGATTTTCTTGCCAAACATATTGCCAGCCAGCTACCCTTGTAACCAGCCAGCCAGCTAGCCTTCTAGCCACCACGCCAGCTAGCTAGCTTTCTATCCAGCTACCCTTGTAGCTAGCCTTGTATCCAGCCAGCCCCACCAGCCAGCTAGCTAGCTTGTACCCTTGTAGCCACCCAGCCAGCTAGCCTTGTAGCCACCAGCCAGCTAGCTAGCTTTCTATCCAGCTTGCCTTGTAGCCACCCAGCCAGCTAGCCTTGTATCCAGCCAGCCTTGTAGCCACCAGCCAGCTAGCTAGCTTTCTATCCAGCTTGCCTTCTAGCCACCCAGCCAGCTAGCCTTGCGTCCAGCCAGCCTTGTAGCCACCCAGCTATCCAGCTAATCAACTAGTTGTCCTTTCAACAATCAACCTCCAACTGAGTGTTAGCTGGCTGTTGACAGTTGCTTTGAGATATATATGTAATAATAATAATTATATATACATTATAATTACATATTTTCTTCTTAAAGTTGAGCATATTAAAACAAAAGCAGTAATAGTGAAATATAATAAGGTGCAACTCGTTCTGAACATAATTATAAACCATGCGAGCGTCTCACGCCTTATGAGAGAGAGAGTTCATTCCTCGGTGGAAATGAATGCAACTCGCTCCGTGTCGGGGAGGAAAGGTCGAGTGAGGTTATCCCACACTGGAAGATCTGCCCAGTCCACGGGGCTTGAGGAAAATAATTGTTATAATTCAAGGCAATCACACGGTAAATAGCCTTTGAAAAACGTATTCACCATTGTTAATAGTCTCACAAGAAACCTTGTCCTCGAGTCATGCTTAAGGGGGATCAACGGTGTGTTTTGGAGACGGTCACAGCCTCGACCCCACTACTACACACCAGGGATCGAAGCCACCATGGTTTGAAACCCTTAACACAGACTTAACTATTATTTTTCCACGAGGGAGTAACGTTGCGTTGGTTGTAGACTCTTGACACAGCCTCCACAGTAACTCTTCCCTGCTCAGGTCTGGACTCTCCTCCAACTAGTGTGTGTGTACTCACCTAATTGTACTCACTAATTGTGTGTGCGGGGGTTGAGCTCTGTCTTTGGTCTCGCTCTCAACCGTCAATCAATGTGTGTGTGTGTGTGTGTGTGTGTGTGTGTGTGTGTGTGTGTGTGTGTGTGTGTGTGTGTGTGTGTGTGTGTGTGAGGAAAGGGGGGGAGGGAAGGGGTATAGAGGAGAGGGACGTCATCCAAAGTTTTTGCTTGAGATGGCTGGTTAGGTTTATTGGAAGATCATGGTATAGGTTCTGGAGATATTACCTCGTTGCCACGCCTCGTTGTCAAGTGGAACATGTGGCCCTCGGAAATTCTATAATGAAGTAATAACGTGTTGGCTTGTGAGTCGCCGCGGCAAATGAAAACACGCCCTTGATTTCCCAAATGGCAGGTCTGCCCAGCACGCCGACCTGCGCCGACACGCTGCTTGGCCCGCAACATGTCAACCTCTTCACTTTGTTATTTTTCAATCTTTAACTCAGTCGAATAATATGTTCTATTAATATTTTCGTTTGGTGTCAAGGCTGTAGTGATACTATGCACCATGTGTGTATGTTTTAAGTGATACACGGTGAGTGACACACAGCGAATCCATAAGAATGTCATGTATTTATGAAAAATAAAATATTGAGACTACATAATGGCATCAAATTAATGTCCCTAGAATATCAGTGATTGTTAAACACATTAGGTTCACCGCCATACTGAAGTGGTGCACATGAGGGTAATGGACGGACGCTACAAACACTTCAGGTCATATTCATTCGAGAGCTGATACCAATAATCAACATTCAAATGGTTTTAACATCGAGTGTCTCATCGTTTGATGGTTTACCTTTGATTTGAGGAGAGATCAGACCCGGTAGATAACCATTAGATGATGACAGGCACCGATTACCTTACCCTATTCTTCATCACTCTTCGATTAAGGACTATTTAATCATAGGGGGTGAGGGGAACCCCCACTTATAAATGTAAACAAAGTTTACTGTTACCTTATTACGTAGGCCTATAATATAATTTGTATTTGTTATTCAAAGTAAAGACATTTCAAACTTTAAAGAAACATCAATAAGAATCAACGTAAACAAATTTTCTCCATTTAAATTCAACAAGATTCTGTTTGAATTTGAATGTCTAATTGTTCTCATTAAAACACTAAATTATATTAGTATAATCTCAATGTGAAATTAGTATATCAAATCCTACGTTACATTTTAGAATAATCAACACAAATAATTAGGTATACACTTGTATACAAATGATATAGTTATGTCGAGGCCTGAGCCTAGTCATAACACAGGTACAGATATAACTTGTGGACTCCACCTCATCAGTTTGAAGCGTAAGTACGACAGTGGACACAAATATTGAGACAGCCCCCGCTCCTGTGCCAGGTGAGTCCACTACGGGCTCACCATAGTCCGTGCTACTTTGGAACTTTTGTTCTAAGTAGTTAAATCTAAACCAACAACAAATATTGAGCCAGATCGTGGTGATCGTAGACACTGATAGGTGTGTACGCGCTCAGACTCCTGCACGCACGCACACATGCAGCAAAAAAGACAATTGAATACAAAGAAACGTGTGTGTTCAACGCTGGTTTTTGTGGCCCACTACAAGCTTCAATAATCTACTTAATTTTAAAATTACACTCCCAGAGTCAGAGTTTTCAACGGGGTTTCAATATAAAAAAAATCTACGAATCTTCCAAGTGGATTGTCTTCTAATATCGGGTAAGGTCAGGCACGCCTTCTTGACTCCATCCCCTACTCTCCATCCTGTTTAGGAAATGCAGATGTTTATCTCTCAGAATGTTTGGTAATATGTTTATTGTTTGTGATGTGTTTATATGTATGTATTAACACGATGTACTGAACGGGGTGAGAATAGCTTGAGCTACCTCATCCCTTTGTGTGTATTTTACCTCAATAAACTTATTTCAATTTCAATTTCTTCCATCCTGTCTTCCCCCCCCCTTCCCTCACCCGCTCTCTCATTCACTTCTTTTTTTCTCCCCCCCCTCCCGTCTCTCTCTCTTTCTCTCTCTCTCTCTCTCTCTCTCTCTCTCTCTCTCTCTCTCTCTCTCTCTCTCTCTCTCTCTCTCTCTCTAACTCTCTCTCTCTCTCTCTCTCTCTCTCTCTCTCTCTCTCTCTCTCTCTCTCTCTCTCTCTCTCTCTCTCTCTCTCTCTCTCTCTCTCTCTCTCTCTCTCTCTCTCTCTCTCTCTCTCTCTCTCTCTCTCTCTTTCCTCAGAATCCCTTTCCTTCAAAACGTGTTCCACTGCGGACCGCGTAATAACAGCGAAAGGACACTGGAACTAAAGTGGATCTTCGCCTCTATTACAATGATATTGGAGATTTGTGGCGGGAGGAACGTACAGTTGCGATTATATGCACACGACTTCCACCAACCCCTTGTTTCTGGGGGAGGGGGGGGGGGGTGCTGTTGGGGGAAACATGGGGTGGGGTTTACTCTGGGGGAGGGCGGACCACGTCGACAGCCAGGAGTCAAGGGATCAAGAACAGCCAGGTGTACCCAAGCTGATTAGCGAGCCAGATTCTCCCCCTGATGGCTCGCTAAATAACCCATAATTACACCCCGGAAATATAATTATGATTAGCTGCATGTCGATTAAGATGGAGATGGCTTTTTTGTTTCACCTTTTTACGGCGGGGCGACGGATAAGATTTTAAAAGGTGGTGAAATGAGAGAGAAAGGTGGGCCGTTTTGT